AGCCACTGGCGGGTACTGTGATCAAAACTGTCCTTCCCACTGGTGGGTGAATCGGGTGATTCCTTGTACGCAGAGTAGCCCAACAGGTCTGCCAGGCCAGGCCACAGCATCTAGGCAGGTCTTGCCCCTCAGTGTTGAGGATTGTGTTATTGGTTGACTGCTAACGTGTCAGGGTCATTCCAAGCAGCCCCCCCTTCTGAGAGCACAGAATCACTCGATCCATTTAATCCTTTACCTGTCTGACTATAGTTCAGTGTTAAAGGTCCTCTGGGTTAAAAACTGTCAGTTACTGTTTTACCCATGAAGCAATAAGGAAGTGTTTCACTCTAGGAGCAGATAAATGAAGCTAGCAATCCTTTTGGCATGAACCGACGCACATGGGCAATTACTTGCTTAGGTCTGGGCTGAAATCCTAGTTGCTTTGAGCTCCTAATGAGAACTTGAGTTGGGAAGGGCAGAGAGATGGGTTAAAAAAAAGGGGTGATGGCTTGGAGGCCAGCCACACATGCTAGAGGAAAAGGGAGCTCAGATAGAGAAAGGAGCACCAAATAAAGGGTGTTGGGAGGACCCTCCCAGGATGGGAGAAGCATGCTGAAAGTAGACTATAGGCCAAACATAATTGCCACTCAATGTCTCTCTTGCAAACCACAGCACCCAAAAGGAGAGAGATAACAAAAGGGAATGCCCTGCCACAGAGGCAGGGTGGGATGGGGGGGTTGGGGGGTGGGAGGGATACTGGGATCCGTGGTGGTGGGAAATGCGCACTGGTGGAGGGATGGGTGTTTGATCATTGTATAATTGAAACCCAAGCACAAAAATTTGTAAGTCTACAACTGTATCTCATGGTGTCTCACTAATAAAAATTAAAAAAAATAAATAAAAAAGAAAAAAAAAAGGGTGAGCTCTGAACTGAACAGCAGAGCCACAGGAAAGCACATTCCACACTTGGTAGGAAAATATGTGTCCTGCTAAACAGGTCTGGCCAGACCCTGACACTTTTCTTTCTCTTCCCACTCTCATTTTCTCCTGTTTCCGTTCATCGCACTTTAGACTCTGTGTTTTTCTAACTCTGATCTCTCATTGGTGCACGTCCTGGGGTGCAATGACCTCGGGGTTCTTTGATCTTTGATTGCCATCATTTCAGTCTGAAGTATGAATATCCCCTATATGTGTATGCCTGAACAACAGTCTTCAGAGAGACTCTGGGGCTGGGGAGATAGTACAGTGGGCGGGCACTCGTCTGGCATGTGGCAGACCCAGGTTTGATCCTTATCATCCCATAAGGTACCCCATGCTTGCCAGAGAGGAGGCTCTCAAAGTTTCTGTATGACTTTCATTACAAACAGGAATTTGAGGCATCAACATTTAGTCAATTGCAGAAGGAACTTAACTTTCTATGTTTAGTTCTCTTCCATTACTCATCTACTTTGCAAGTTCTGGCTAGGGTGCTGGGTATCACAGGCATACTGACCACACGGGATTTGCCTCTGAGGTCATCACAAGAGCGATCCCTTACTTAAGAATGTCCTAGCCTCGGGGCTGAAGCAATAGCACAGCGGATAGGGTGCTTGCCTTGCCTGCAGCCAACCCAGGTTCGATTCCCAGCATCCCATATGTCCCCTGAGCACCGCCAGGAGTGATTCCTGAGTGCAGAGCCAGGAGTAACCTCTGTGCACCGCCGGGTGTGACCCAAAAAGAAAAAAAAAAAAACAAAGAATGCCCTAACCTCTAGCTACTTGTTCTTTTGTCCTTCCATTTCTCTCCCCATGAGACTATAGGCTCCATAAACAAGGACCCTTTGCAGAGTGCTCTGCCCTCTCAGAGCCTGTGCACTGCATCAGTGAGGATGAAATAGTCGCGGAGGGGAAAGAACCTCCTGCCCAGTGTCTGCCCCTGAGCAGTTCCAAATGTTTGCTCTGGACCTCTGCTCAGGCTGTGCCTTCACAGAGGACACTTCTAAGAGCAGCAGGGCTGAGTCACTTGCTCTCTGGGTTCTGTCCATACCCTAGTTTCCTCACAGCCCACCCAGTGAAAGTACTTGGCAGAGTGTCAGTAAAAACAAATGTTCTCCAACATCATTTAGAACGCGTCTCATATTTCCTTAGCTTTGCTTTGAAGATTTTGGCAAGACTCTTTTCAAAAAATGAAAAAAAAAAAGGAATCAAAGTCACCAGTCTTGAGTTTGATTCCCTAAAGGACATACAGCAGGATGCAGTTCCTATCTTTCACTCAACCTAAAACCTGCCCACCAGGCCAGAGGTTACGGCGTTTGCCTTGCATGCAGCTGCCTCAGTTCAACCCCTGGCACCAAGCACTGTCAGGAGTGACCCTTGAGCAGAACCAACAGTGATACCATAGGGTGTGGCCTCAAAACAGAACAGGGGCCGAAGAGATAGTATACAGCAGGCAAGATATTTATTTCCGGGGTTGGAGCAATCGATAGCACAGCAGGTAGGGCGTTTGCCTTGCACGTGGTGGACCCGGGTTCGATTCCCAGCATCCCATATGGTCCCCTGAGCACCGCCATAAGTAATTCCTGAGTGCAAAGTCAGGAGTAACCCCTGTGCATTGCCGGGTGTGACCCAAAAAGAAAAAAAAAGATATTTATTTCCTCCTATGCAGTGGGTCCTGGTTAGATCCCTGGCACCCAAATTTTCCCCCTAGCACTACCAGGAGTGATCCCTGAGCACAAAGCAGGGTGGAGGCCTTCATCACTATTGCCTGGGGCACAATCCCCTCTCCCCCGCCTCAAACCAACCCCTCCCTACCAAATTCACAACCTTGTCCCTAAGAAAGGGGCAGTAAAAGAACATTCTAGATGGAATCCAGTAGGAAGAATTAGTAAAAGGCGTACATGCACTTTCCTTAAAGAGCTCTTGGACATCTGCCTGACAACTTCTAAGGAAGCCGGTAGTGGCCCATGGGGTGGAGAGTTAGTGGGGAAGAAACAGGAAGTGCTGAACATTAGTATAAAACAAGTAAATTCGGGATTATTTATTCTTTTGCTTTTGATGTGAAAAAGGAGATGCTTAAGAATGAGGATAAAACATCATTCAATCTTCCCCTTGCTGAGTGCTAATTTATATGCACTTGAAAGGATCCCATTGTTCCCCCTCAACTTTGAAAGACTGGCGTATATTCAAAGGCACAAGCAAGAGGCAACGCTCTTTTAAAATGCCACGTTCTTTGGAACTATCAGTGGAAAACTAGGAATCACCAGCCTCGGCCCCACCCACTCCGAGGCCTGACCTCACTAGGGCCAGAGCCCGGTCAGAGGAGGAAGGAAAAAGGGCCTACAGGATGCATCCAGAATGAGAGAGGGAAAAAAAAAAAAAGCCAAGAGAGTATCACCTAGACTCTAGGTGCCATTTGCACAGTCGGTAAGAAGACCTGAAGAGCTGAAATAAGAGATGGCAAGTGGGGGGCAGAGCCAGGGGGGCATCTGCCTTGCACACAGGTCCTGGAACACCGCCAGCAGTGATGCCTGAGTGCAGGAGACAGGAGTAACCCCTGAACACCACCAGGTGTGGCTCCAATCCATTCCCCGATGCCCCCCAAGAGAAAGATGGCAAGTGGAGAATGAAGGATCGTGGTAAAAAAAATGTCACTCTGGCTGCCAAGAACCGCGCAGATCATTGAGAACCAACGGACACACATCTGATAGGAATTTCTGATGAACTGAACTCATTCCTGCCCGGGTCTTGGACGTTATCTTCTGCAGGTTCCTGCAAACACCTTTGCAGGCAAAGATAACAGAGGGTGTTTCCTGAGCTGGCCGGGGCACAGGACTGAGAGTTCCACTGCTGTAGGCAGAAAGCCTGCTGCAGGGGAAAGAAAATGAGCAGGGCCTGAAAACGGGAATAGCCACTACCCCTGCCAAGCAGACTGGGGCAGCGGGCCAGCCAGCGCACACCCATAACCCAGCAACGGTCTGGCCACAGCCCTGCCCCTCTAATTGCTGCCCTCACCAGGGCTTGGTCAATACGTCTCTCTGTCAGACAGCTGGCCGGTCCGCTGTGACTCACTTCCTCTCGGAAAATGCCCTCTGAGATGGCACCGTTCTAGCCTTTCCTCCAGGGAGTGTCCTGTCCATACCATCCGCAGAGTATCTGGAAGCTTCGGGACCACACCCACATGGTCTCAGCGCTGAGTCACTGGCCTCCACCACCCGGGGAATCCGGAGACCACGGTGCTCACCACGCCCTGCCCCGCGCTCTCAGCTCCCAAGGCGGGCGCACGGGGGGCTGGGCACCCCGCAGTCCCCCCACCCCGGGGCTCTGCCACCTCCCACCCCGGTCCTGCTCCCAGGGATTCTGGCTGGGGCAGGAGTGCAGCACCTAGAGGCGAGGACGCGCTGTGCTCCCGGCCAAGTTCAGGTTGCAACCAGGTACCACCAGGCACGCCCGTGGCCCTGTCTCCCCGCGCCGGGCCCCGTGCAACCTGGGGGGACCCTCTGTCCGGCGTCTTCCCGGTCCCACGGAGGGAGCAAGGGGGGAGTCCCCCCGTCCGCACCCCCTCCTCGCCCTGCCCTGCAAACCCATGCAGCCCTCCCGCCGCTCAGAGGCTGTCCCGCCAGCAGCAGGGGCGGTCGGCCGGCCCGGACCCCCGGGGGCGCCGCCGCTGCCCCCCGCCCTGCGCCCTGCAGCCTTGGCGCGCTCTGGCCGCGGCCGGAGGCGGCTCGGACACGCTGGCCGCGGTCAGCTGCAGCCGGTCCGCACAGAGGAACACGCCGGCCGGGACCGCGGCTCCCACTAACTCGGGGATCGGGCAGAAACGAGCAAACGTCGGCAGCCCCCCACCCAGACCCCCGAGCACCGACTCCCGAGTTCCCGGAGCCCAGGACCAGACACTGGGAGGGGAGCCCCGGGGCGCCGGCTGCTTGGGTGTGGCTGGCGCCGGAGCAGTGGCTCGCACCCGCCCCGGGGCTTGCAGCCGACTCCCCCGCGGGACCCCCGGGACGGGCGCGGCCGGGTGGGCGCTCCTCGGCGCGCGGGGCTCACCTGGGCCGGAGGCGCGGCGGGAGCGTCGGGGCAGCGGGACTCCGGGCAGTGAGCGGCGCGCGGCGGGCGGGGCGCCTTAGTAGAGGGGCTGGGCGATCGGGAGGGGTGGGGTGGCGGGGAGCAGGGGCGGGGCCGGAGGAGCCCGAGCGGGGCTCACCCCACCCCTCCTCCTCCTCCCCTTCCTGCACCCCGGCCCCTCCGGAGCACCCGCGCCCCGCGCCGCGCGGGGAGGCGCCTGCTCGGGGCGCCCCTGTCCCCCACGGCGACCCTGGTCCCCAGCTTTGCTCCCTCCCGCAGTGCTCGAGCCTTGCGGGACACTCCCAGCCTCCGCCTGCCCTGCCCCTCGGGTTTGGTTTTCAGGAGGGTGTGTGGAAATCGGAAGAATGCGGCCGTTCAGCGGGCGGACCGTGCAACCGGGCGGTCCAGGAATTTTCTCGAGGGCGCTGCAGGGCGGAGGCCCGAGGCCCGCGGAGGCGGCGGCGGCCGGACTCGGTGTTCCCTGGCCCCCCGGGTCTCCAAGTCCACCCACCTCGGAGCGGCGGGGGCTGGCGGAGGCCTCGGCTTTGAGCCGGGACACGCACTGGGTAGAATTTACTCTTGCAACTTGGGCACGTTTGCAGGGTTGTGGTTGGCACCGTTGTTCTCCAAGCCCCCCCCCAAGAGACGCTTTGGAAAGAATGAAGAGAAAACCTGCATTTTCCCACAGAGCTTACGACCTCCCCCCAACACCCCTACACACACACACACACACACACATGCACACATGCACACATGCGCGCGCGCACACACACACATGCACACATGCACACATGCGCGCGCGCGCGCGCGCGCGCACACACACACACACACACACACACACACACACACCCCTAAACCTCCCCCCTTAAGTGTCGGTTAGGCTGAAATGAAAGTGCCAAGTGCTGCCAGCTGTTGGTGGAGTTGGTGGAGCAAAGCCAACCCCCCAGTAGGGCTTTCCTTTGTTCTAGGGATCCCGCGGGAATGAGCAGAAGTGGCTCCATGTGACCCTGCTCGGCCCCAGCCAAGAAAATCTAACTCAGCTCTCCCACCCACTCCCTGGGTTCCTAACCCGGCCCTCCCTCCCACCCACACCCTGGGTTCCTGCACGGAGCGCTGACTGCACTTGGAACCTTCAACTCTTCCAGATGCTTCCGGGCTCTGCTCCCCAGGCCCCAAGTACCGGCCGGCAGTGGAAAGAAATCCTGCCTCTTTTCAGTCCTGGAGAAGCAACAACTCGAGTTAAGCAGCGAGTTTCTGTGTTTCTTGTTTCATCAACAAGCCTCTGAGAACGCACCGAAGGATGCTGAGTCCTTTGGATTCTGCTTGGATGAACAGTCCTTTGGCTCAGAGAACTTCAAGTTTGGGACACAAATAAGCAAAAAAAAAAAAAAAAGAATGTTCTGGCTCAGTAAGTGATAGGGGACATCATGGGACAAGGAACCACAGAAAGACCCCTCCGCGTGTCTTCAGAGTGCTGACAGAACAAGTCCTAGACAGAAATCTCAGATGCTGAGACAGAATTGTTCAAAATAGGAACAGAGGGGGGCCAGAGAGATAGGACAGCGGGTTGGCACACAGTTGACCCAGATGTGATGCCTGGCATCCCATGTAGTCTCTCCAGCACAGCCAGGGGCACTGTCTGCCCGTTGTGCCCCCCCACCACACACACACACACACACACACACACACACACACACACACGGGAACTGCGGAGAGAGTCAAAGGTAATGCAATTGCCTTGCATGCAAGCTGGCCCTGACTGGAGTAGCCCACAGCACTTACAGATGTACAGAAACTTTGGCACTGCCAGGATGACCCAGAGCACAGAGCACTCAGCTGTGGCCCCCAGCACCCTCCATCCTCCCACCACAGACCCCTCAAAAATAAAATGGAAACACCATGACTTTCAATTCATGTTGTAAAAGAGGTTATAATCTTGGGGCCTTGTATGCAGGCGACTGAAGTTTGGTCCCCAGCACTCTGTGTTGTCTTCTGAGCCTACCAGGAATAATCCCTGAGCACTGACTGGTATGACCTCAAAACAAAACAGACAAAAAAAAAGTTATATTCTTCTTTAAACTGGAAAATGCAACAATATACACAAAAGAATATTGCAATATACATGGCCGACCCGAGTTTGATTCCTCTGCCCCTCTAGGAGAGCCCAGCAAGCTACTGAGAGTATCTCACCCGCAAGGCAAAGCCTGGCAAGCTACCCGTGACGTATTCGATATGCCAAACACAGTAACAATTGTCACAATGGAGATGTTACTGGGCCCGCTCGAGCAAATTGATGAACTACGGGGGGACAGTCACAGTGACTAATCCACATTTTGCTTTTCCTCCTAGGAAAACACTTCTTTTTCAAAAAAATTTTTTAAAAAATTATTTTTAATTGAATTACCATGATCTACACAGTTACAAAGTTGTTCATGATTGAGTTTCACTCATACAATGTTCCAACATTCATCCCTCACAAATGTACATTTCTGGCCACCAAATGTCCCTAGTTTTCTTCCCGCCCCAATCCCTAATCCTCTTTTATGGCAGATAGACATTTGTCTCTCTTTTTTACTTTTAGGCACTGTGTTTTGCAATACTGTTGCTGAAAGGGTATCATGCATTTCACTTTACTTTCTTTCAGTACTCAGTTCTTGCCCAGAATGACCGTTTCCAACTATCATTGTCATAGTGGTCCCTTCTCTCTCCCAACTGCCCTCCTCCTCTCCCTTGGCGGCAGACTTCCTACCATGGACCAGTTCTCCTGGCCCTCATTTCTACTGTCTTTGGATATTATTCTTATATTGTGTGTTTTTATTTTTCTCAAATGAGTGTGATCATTCTATGTCTGTCCGTCTCCTTCAGACTCATTTCACTCAGTATAGTACTACTACTCTCCAGTTCCATCCATGTATAAGCAAATTTCATGACTTAATTTTTTCCTAACGTCTATGTAAGTATTCCACTGTGTAGATTATTTCTTTATCATCTGTTCTTGGGTACTTGGGTTGTTCAGTAATCTTTTTTATTCATGTGTTTCCTTCTAGTCTTTTTTTTTCTTCTGTTTTTTGGGTCAGACCTGGCTGTGTTCAGGGCTTACTACTGGCTCTGCACTCAGGGATCACTTCCGGCTAGGGTTGGGAGACCACATGCAGTTGTGGGGATCAGACCTGGGTTGGTTGTGTGCAGGAGAAGCAACTTGCCTGCTGTACTATTGATCTGATCTCTGTTATTCTAGTCTTTTTATGCATGTAAACTAGATTTTTGTATCACTTGCGGGAAAGATATTTTTTAAAAGTTGAGCCCAGAAAACTGTCTTGATTTTGATCCCTAAAGTGAGTTCAGAGAGGTGAACTGGAGCAAGGGAGCTTCATCCATGTCTCCCCCACCTTCACCAAGCACAACTCTTGCCCACTGAGAAAGTGTGTGCAGGATGGGAGAAGCATGCTGAAAGTAGACTATAGACTAAACATGATTGTCACCCATTGCCTCTTTTGCAAACCACAACACCCAATAAGAGAGAGAGAGAGAGAACAAAAGGGAATGCCCTGCCACAGAGGCAGGGTGGGCTGGGGGGGATGGGGGGGATGGGGGGTGGGAGGGATACTGGAACCCGTGGTGGTGGGAAATGGGCACCGGTGGAGGGATGGGTATTTGATCATTGTATAATTGAAACCCAAGCACAAAAATGTGTAAGTCTGCAACTGTACCTCATGATGTCTCACTATTAAAAATTTTTTTAATAAAATAAAGAAAGAAGAAAGAAAGAAAGAAAGAAAGAAAGAGTGTGCAGAGAAAAGTTCTTGTTGTCATCTAGTAGGGGGAAAGAACCATTAGTAGTCTCTACCCCCATGGGGTACATCAATTTTCCCTTGAGGAGTTATCAGGTATCATTCTTGCTGAGCTGGCAAAGTACAGTCACTATGACACTAATAAGCTTATGGTTGGGTGCAGTGGTAGTTATTTAGCAGAGGGTGAGGAAAATTGTTAGAAACAAAAAAGTTCATTCAACTTTTTTTGTGGAGGGGAGGGCTGGGCAATACTTGGCAGTGGTCAGGGCTTACTTCTGTCCCTGTACTCAGTCACTCCTGCTGAACTCAGGCAGCCATATGGAGTGCCGGGGATAGAATGTCTAGGATGTCTGCATGCAAGTCAGGTGCCCTTAGGACCCCCTGTACTCTCTCTCTGGCCCATATTCATTGACTTTCTTTTTTTAATTTTTATTAGTGAGACACCATGAGGTACAGTTGCAGACTTGCAAATTTTGTGCTTGGGTTTCAATTATACAATGATCAAATACCCATCCCTCCACCAGTGCCCATTTCCCACCACCATGGATCCCAGTATCCCTCCCACCCCCCCATCCCCCATCCCACCCTGCTTCTGTGGCAGGGCATTCCCCTTTGTTCTCTCTCTCCTTTTGGGTGCTGTGGTTTGCAAAATAGGCATTGAGTGGCAATCATGTTCGGTCTATAGTCTACTTTCAGCATGCTTCTCCCATCCTGGGAGGATCTTCCCAACACCCTTTATTTGGTGCTCCCTTCTCTATCTGAGCTGCCTTTTCCCCTAGCATGTGTGACTGGCCTCCAAGCCAAGGAGCAAAATTCTTGTGAGATTCTTAAAAGGAAATCCTAAAGATTATAAATTAATATTTATTTCTGTTCCATAATACGTTACTATTTTCTTTGTCATTAAATATTTATCAAGAACATAAATGTCTTCTCCCCTTTCCCTCAACAAGTGACTCAGATTATCCTGTGGCTTCTCTGCCTTCTTCTCTGAGGGCTGTGAGTGCAGCGCCATGGGACAGAGGGAGCTGGGTCTCCACCCAGCTGAGGATGGCAGGGTGAGAGTCCTCTTCACGATGGACACATCTCTATCCTCATGGAGCTCTTTATACTTCCGGGTCCACAAATCTCTGCCTACCTGTTACCGCTCACGAGAAGTGATCGCTAGCAGTTCTCTAGAAAGTAGTTCCTCCTTGGGAACCACAAACAGACATGGGAACCAGTTTTGTTTCCTGAGAGACAACGGATTATATTGAGAATTAAAGCACCAGAACAAGAGCAGCC